TTGGAAATATGTTAATGAAGCGCATATTGTTTCATAACAATAAGGTGATAAAAAGTAACAATTCGCTATTTTCTAAATTTCTATAAATCGAAGAAACTATGTAGTATCCCAGTTTGGTGCTTATAGATTGTATCTTCAATATGTTATGCTTTATTTTATCAAGCATTATCCGCTAAATAAATGTAATATTATCTTACTTGAAAAATAGATTATCTTTTACAAAATTGATGAAGAAAACAACTGATTGTATTGCATCTTCCGAAACAGCATGAACACGTTTAAAATCAATATGTAAAACATTTATAAGACAAAGCGAAATTAACAAGCCCTTTATCTTTACGGTATATACGTTGTCAATTTTTCAAGAAATAAGTAATAGATAGTGCATCGAAACATGAGGCCATCTGATTTGTACGAGGGGGCGTAGCCCCCGACTATTAATCAGATTGTCATAGTCAAAAATGAGAACACGATCCCTGTTGTCACAATATGACGCCCCAGAACAAAAGTAAGCAATGAACGAGCATCTGAATATGATATTTCTCTCGCGTTCCATTTCTCTGCCTAGACTTATTGTGACAATAAGTCAACCCCAGCAAAAATGAGCCAATCAATGGGTAACTCAAACCTGCACTCCAGTTAACGCACTGTGGATGTATATGTATACGATTAAACTGTGACACATTTCGACAAAGAAATCCCCAAACTATGATACAAATACACTTTGTATCATAGATTGGGGACCTTGCTGTTGAAAATGTGCCAGATTTAAATCGTATAGATATAATGCACATTGCGTTAACTAGAGTGCATGTATTGGTTACCCGAACTCCAGAGCATGCCCATTGATTGACTCATTTTGTCAGGGGTTTACGTATTGTGACGATAGAGAAGGTGATGCCGATAGAACTACTATATTCAGATGCTCGTTCATTGGCTATCTTTTCTGCTAGGGTTTCCTATTGTGACAACAAGGAACGTGTTTTTAGTTTTGTCCATGATTTAAAAAAGACAGCGCATCAAAACAGGAGGCGATCTGATTTATACTCGGGGCAACGCCTCCTCGCACAAATCAGATAGCCTCGAGTTTAGATGCTCTTTCTATTACTTAAGTTTTAAGTTTCTAAGTTTTAATAATATATTTGCACGTAGCATAAATTTCCATTTTGTCAGGTCAGTAAAGTGGAAAATTATGCATAATCAATAGGCAAAAATGTTTTTTCTTTATGTTTGTTTTATTAATATATAGGTATCATTTAAAACTGATAGCGTTGGTAAATTGCATTCGATAGGAAACCTAGCAACGACAAAACAAAGATAATCAATGTCTTCATCAACATACATATTTTGTCTTTCCAATGCTTGCAGTAATCACTCTGTTTTGCAATTTTGATTTCCTGGGGAAATCGGTGAAAGAAATGTAGAAAAAAAAAATAATTGAATATTGTAAATAGCTACTTCTTATTTTAGTGATTGTCATGGTAGGTTGCTTTTTTTTAATAAAAGGAAATTCAAACATGAAAATAGCCGCCGCTCACAGTTGGCATCGTCTGAACAGATTTTTATTATAATGTGAAAGGAAAGTCAAAGAAAAAATTAAGCATTGCAGACAGATGTCATTGTCTGGGCAAACAATTTTAAAGAATCAATCTGCTCTGTAATTTATTGGGATGAGTGATCTATTTCTATTCAACAAAATATATGTGAGGTATATAAATTATGGTATAATTATAGTTTGAAGACCTTTTTCATTGAAAATGTGCTCAAGTTAAATCATAAACCCATAAATGCTAATTGCGTTAACTGGAGTTCATGTTTTAGTCACCATTTCATTCTATTACGCAAACAAGTGAAAATTATAAAATTAGAAAAGAACTATAGTTACACAGTCGATACCTTAGTTGTTAATTTACTAAGCGGAAACTCGAATATTGTTAACTTTCGATGAATTAAAATATCTAAAGTTGTCAAAAAGGGGAACTGAATGCAAAATATTTCAGTAAGGAAGGTCATAATTCCGCAATAAATGTTTGTTTTTGTTAGAAATACAGTAAAACATGTATTAAGCGACCGCGCAAGGGAAACACCCAAAACGGTCTTTTGCAACTTAATTCTTTTATGAATGTTGAATAATTACTATGCTCCGATAATCTATATGGATGCCAATTTAAAAAATATCTTTCTGATATTTGACAAAACAGTTTTGATCCATAACGTACATTTTTGACATTTTTTCCTGAATATTTAACTTCTCCGTTGTTTTTCCTTGTCTCCAACACAAAAACCCCATTAGATGTTTTCTGTTGTGCATTTTGTCATTTGAAATAAACAAACTACATTTGATTGCTACGATTAATTTAATAGCTGATCAAGTTCAAGGTCAATTCAATGCAATCTAAATGTCAACAAGCGAAGCGTATACACCATCTCAGTAGGGGCATAGCATTGCATTGTTTATTCGATATTATTGGATAATACACGTCACGCGTATACTTAACTTTATTTGCATACGCTAAAACGGTTTGGGAAAAAGAGTATTTCACATATTTATTTGTTGCGTTTTGATTGTTGACAGTACGAGGCGGCGTTTTCTAATAACACAATTAGTTGACAGGTAAAAGTGGTCGTTTAATGAAAAGATTGATCTTAATAAGGTTACTCATTAGCGCTCACTGGTTGCGTTGGGCAAAAGTCGCTTAATACATTAAAGATATAGAGAGAAAATGAAAGGGAGGGGGGATTTAAAGTGGTCGTTTAAGACAAAAGTCGCTTAATACACGTGGTCGCATGGGCAAGTTAGACTGTAGCTGATCAATTTCGTAACATAAAATACGATGAGTATGTTATAATGATTTCAATACATTAAGACAAGACGTGGGTTGTATATTTACCTAACTTGACAAAAAGGTAGCCATTTTAATTATCGTTGTCAAAGTTCTTCTATAAATAAATATATCTGCAACAATCGTTGAAAAAATAGGGTCATTGTAGATTATGCAGCTAAGGGAGAGAAACAATACATGTTTTGGTAGCAAGTTTCAATTGAGTAACCTCCCATAGCGTAACAATTACACAATTGCCATTACACAGATTAAACTGTACATAGCTTTTGTATTCACCTTTTGTACCTTTTTATCTTATCTTTAGATCTGTAGAATGAGGTATTATTAAACTTCATATATAATAAAGTGTTCAATTCTAGGTCAATGGACGTGTCTTGTTTCTTGCTTGAAACAGCTCTCACGCTGTCTTAACAACTCGGCCAATTCCAAGGTTCATCTCAAGGAATTATTCTTAAAAGATTCAACACAAATTGCTTGTTTTTCTGTTTGATGAACAAAAAAGGCTAGTTATCTAAAAGCAAAATCTATAGAAAAAAAATGATTTTAAATACAATTACACCGATGTTTCAATATAAACCGACAAAGTTAATTGTATGAAACGGAAGGGCTGACCGCGTCAATATGTTTTGTGAGTCATGTTTAAAAGGTATATTATCGTCTTTAATGAAATATATTATCTTTAAATATGTAATTACAAGAACGAATACATGGGTATTTAGTTTTAAATTCATGGTTTATGATTTTTATTTGAAACGGTTCTTATGTTTTGAACAAAACTGATTTGACAGAAAAGGATTGATTGTATTATTTTTTCCCTGGAATCTGTTGTAAAAATATATATCCCCGTATATAGTTACAGCAAGAACATTCACATTAGTCTTATCTTGATTGTTACTATGGTAAACCTGAGAAATTGATACATAACAAAGGACGGAACGCATTACAGTACACTGACATAACTCTATGAAAAGAATTCAACTTAAGGGATATATATCTGACAATGTTAGTAATGTTTGGTATCGCTTGATATATATCTGATGTTTAAATCATATTTCTCTGAATGACTAAACAATGTCCATTGTATATGTTTACAAAATCATCAAATGTATTTGTTTATCCATTTGTTGTTTCATACTATTTCTATTTAAAATTTAAGTACATCATTAAAGATCAAATTTGATTTTAGTTGCTCGATGTTTTTAGTTATAAGATATACTTTCAAATAAGTTTGGTATACATTATTTTAAGTTCCGTTACAGGATCGTTCACATAAAAGGGAACACCACAGAGGTTTTATGACATGACGGGACTGGAAATATTTTTTTAAGATGTTTACTTCATTTGTTGTAGATCTATACTATAATCTTATGTGCAAAATTTCAGATCATCAGCTCGCTCCGTTTTTCCAGAATAATTATTATAATAGTAGAAAATGACCCAAAACTAAAAAGCGTTCAAACGCTTTTCACTCAAATCGGACCGATAATAACACAAACATATGCTTTTCAATGTATTTTTTGTATATTTTTTCGTTATATTTTATTTATATTTCCATTTTAAGTTATCATGTTTATCGACGTGAAAAATTTAAATTTTATAAGTTTATAGGCTTATAAACCTCAGTGTAATTCCTTTAACGGCATTCCATATATGAAAAGAGGCAATTTGCCGGTTTCGTCAGGAACCATACGGTATTATCCTCCCAAAGGCTTGCAGTCGCTGAAAGTAAAAATAAATTGCAATGTTCAATTAAGCAGGCAAAACATAAATTGAGGTATTTTTATTACATGTACTAGTTTGGTTATCCTTTCATTGGTTCAGTGGCATTGAAAGCCAAAAAGGAAATGACGGTAAACTAATGGCTTCACCTCATTATATTTACCTCTTATGATTGTAACCAATTTGTTAATAAAATAAAATAAATTTGTTTTATAATCGAAAACAAATATTTTGATATATATGACAGATATATTAGATAAGCAAAATCTACATACGTGATACAAAACTCCACTTGAATACAGCCCACACGTGTACCTTGCTCTTGTAATTTTACTGTAAGGTCGAAGGTACCTCTGAGTTCTATCGGAAGGGGTTTGGGAATAATAATTGGTACTGACGGTATTTTGTACTCGTTCTATAAAATAAATCTTTATTCAATCAATGCACAAGATTACATCAATGTATAAAAGTGAAATGAAGTGCAAAAATCTGGCAATCGGATACAATGTATCAATCAAAAAAAAATTCGGCAGAGGTAAGTTAAACGTCATACGTTTATATACAGGAAAACATACAAATAAAGCATACGGGAAGAACGAAAGCACCACCAGAGAATATAAACCATTATATGTCGGCATTATTCTAATATACCACAGTTAACAATTCAATACTGACAATTGCCTTTAGCACATGTTGTTATAATGATCCTAGACTAGGTGACCGATCACTTAAAATGTGGCACATATAGATAACTGTTTTCATTGAAAAGTCTCCCGTTACAAGTTCAAATTGCTATAAAACTATAAAAACCGCTTCAATACAAATCAAACTTGGCAATGTTGACTGGACTATTGCCTTTGCAACAACATTGCCAAGCTTAAATTTTATGTTACCATGGCAACGAAGGGACATACCAAATTTGCCCAAAATCACTATTTTGCGGGGTTTTTTTTTCTCATTTATTTCAAGGTGCTGCAACTTCTCAAAAATTGAAGACGAAAATTTTCTTGGCTATGAGAAGGACTGCCGCCCCCTTCAAACCCCCAAACAGAAGGGGCAACATCCCGCTTCTGGCAACCGCCTGATGTCTCCTTTGGTTGAAGGCCGCGCCGAAATATTGGTCACTTTTTAAACAACATTTCTCAAACAAAAACAAGTGTTAGGGGCCTTAATAAGGCATTTTTCACCATTTGAGACAACAAAAGGGGGTTACAAAGGCTTTAAAAGGCGTGTGTATTGCGTAATGGGTAAAGACATAAAAAATACAGTATGCAGTCACCTATAATTATAATCATTACCGCAAGACACAATATTCAAGTCCTTCTCATGTTAATTCTACATTTAAAATATCTGCTGAATTAGTGATCACTGATGCATCTAAAAAGATCCTGTATCTTGTAATTAAACATGTAACATACAATTAAGTGAAGTTTTGTATATGTATATAACTATTATTCTTGTAAAATAATTTCAAAACATCCAATAATTTAGAAAATATGTTAAGCAAAAGTTTATATACATTAGAATTAAAGGTTAAAATTAAACGTTAAAATGAATGCATTCATTTTATATGTAACAAAATACCTGGCCTAGACTTTATCAAAAACACATTTCTTATTATCTCCCTTTATTCAGATTAAATATTAAACACGATTATTTCTTTAGAAATATTCTTTTACAAAATAGATAAAACTTCATTTGACCATCAGATTTACGACTTACGTCATAAAACATATAAAATACGTTCGGGGTATTTAAAAAGACATCATAGTTTAATACAAACCTTTAAGAAAGGGCACGAACAATTGTTGTCATACTTCTCCATCATAAATTGTGGGCATTTATTGTGTTTCATTAGTCTTTCAAGTTCTGCACACAAGTCATTCAAATGGCAATAATATTCACCGATAATGTCACACAGTTCCGTGTAGCCTCTATCAGTTTTCAGTCTCCAGTTTAAATCAACCTTTAATAAACAAGAAATAATTTAAATAAAAAATGTAACTGTAAAAAAATTACATTTTAAAGGTCGATCTTTATTTTTCTTTTGTTAGTTACATTTTTTATATCTTATTGTTTAGGCATACAAATCTTTCTTTCAGAATATAATTATAAGTGTACATTTACTCGATGGCACATTAAAGTTGTTATATCCTATTTTTATTTATCAAAAGGATTTTTTTTTCAAATTCGAGCACGACACAATGGCTTACATCTATTCTGTTGCCGTCTAGTCCAACATCTCTCTCCAGATTAAACTCCACGGTTAGGATAATCCACTCTCGGAGATTAATTGGATCAGGATCTAACTGAAAACGCTGCACGTAAAATGGGACTGCTGACCTGTTACAGTTTTTAAAGTGAAAATTGCTCTGGTTCCCAACATCCTATAAAGAATAAGGAAGTTATAAACATGTTCATCAAATTATAATGTTTGGTTTCAAATTGTTATATGCCTTTATGTTTGTTACACCTCGCCGAAAGGCGACAGGGGATATAGAAATAGTCTTCGTCCGTCCGTCCTTCCGGTCGACATTTTTGTCCTGAGCATATTTCAGAAAATATTTGAGGTATCAACTTGAAACTTCATAATTGTCCTTTGTATTTTTTCAAACTTTTTTTGTCCAGAGCATGACTCAAAAAGCTTATGAGATATAATCATGAAATTTCATAGGTGGATAGATCTCACTCAGGAGGTGTGCAGTGCACAAGATTGATAACTCTTCCCATTATAAGTTTTGAGTTATTGTCTTTTGTTATTTTTCATACATTTTGTCCGCAGCATATCTCAAAAGCCTTTGAAATATCAACTTGAAACTTCATATGTGGATAGATAATAATGAGGAGGAGTGCAGTGCGAAAGATGGATAACTCTACTCTGCATAATTTTTCAGTTATTGCCCTTTATTATTTTTTAATCTAATTTTTGTTCAGATCATAAATCAAAAAGCTTATCAAATATCAACATGAAACTTCATTGGTGGATAGATCTTATGGAGGAGGAATGTTGTTTGCGAGAAAGATAACTCTTCTCATTATAATATTTGAGTTATTGCCCTTTGTTATTGTTCATACTTTTTGTCCGGAGCATATCTCAAAAAGTATTTGAGGTATCAACTTGAAACTTCATAGGTGGATAAATCATATTATGGAGGATTGCAGTGCACAAGAATGATAACTCTACTATTTATAATTTTTGAGTTATTGTCCTTTGTTATGTTTTTTTTATGCTTTTTGTCCGGAAGTTTTCGCCAAAGTGCTAGAGGTATCAACTTGAAACTTCATAGGTGAATAGATCTTATCGAGGAGAAGTGCAGCACACAATAATGATAACTAAACCCTGCATTATTTTTAACTTATTGCCCTTTGTTAGTTTTCATGCTTAAATTTTGTCCAGAGCATTACTAAAAAGCCTTTGAGATATCAACACGAAACTTAATAGGTGGATAGGACTCATAGAGAAGGAGTGCAGCACAGAAGAATGATAACCCTACCCTGCATAATCTTTCAATTATTGCCCTTTATTATTTTTCATGCTTAATTTTTGTCCAGAGCATAACTATAAAAGCATTTGAGATATCAACTTGAAATTTCATAGGTGGATAGATCTCATTGAGGAGGAGTGCTGCATACAAGAATGGTAACTTACCCTGCATTATTTTTTATTTTTAGATATTGCCCTTTGTTATTTTCAGCCATCAGTATTCACATAGGTTTCAAATATATTATCACTTCAGCCATCGGTTTTCATTTCTAAAAGACCTCTTAAAATTGAATTTTTCTGCTCTACTATATATATATATATATATATATATATATATATATATTCTTCCAATGGGCAAACACATTCGGCGAAGGATGGTCATGTTGACATGGCTCTTTTATTGTTCTTTTATTGTTCTTTTTTATAATTGCTTTAGTACATCAATATTGAAATAAAAGTGTTTGATATATTAAAATGTAGATTGACTGTAATGTTTATATTCATTTCCGCACAGAAGCAATTGATATTTCCATTATGTTATTTATTTGGTTAATATGCTTTCATTATTATATTTATCAAAAATGTTTCCAACTCTTTCAAGTTAAGGTATTAGGACCCTAATGGGCACTATAATGAACTGAAAAATTGACATTATAGGTCAGATGTATACCTTAAAGTACACCTGTATGCAAAATTTAAACAAAAGTTACCGTACGGAAATCAAGTTATGGCCACTTTTCTGAACTCAAGCTAGGATGTTATGAGGGTCCTTTTTTAGAAATGAGGAACTTTTAAATAATCTGCAATAACTCTCTAATGAAAAATGTTTTCCCATTAATTTTTGGTAAGAAACAAATAGTACCATTCATAATTATGGTTTCTACATAAAATTTATGAAATCTGTATAAAAATGTTACCCCACCCCACCCATTTTCACCACGTGTCTGACCATTTTTCTACTTAGGGAGCCTAATTTAAAAAATTCTTAAAATTTACCCAAATGAGTGCCTGTTTTCAAAGTTTCCCTGAATTTTTAAAAAAGTATATTGGTTGATCTTGTAAAATATGAAATACTTTTCCCGTCTAGTTTTGATTATATTACACTTTGAGAATATCAGGTATCATATTTATTACTAGATTTAGCATAATATAGCCAATAAATACCTATATAAATTAAAAAATCAAAATAAAACACTTTTTTCTTTCCAAATGGGACATGAGAGATACATAAATAATGTTAAAAGAAAAAAAGAAAGAAAAAAAAAGTTTACCCTTCTGGGGATTGAACCCACGGCCCTCATTTTCAATGTAGTTAACAGTAGTTCTAGCCTATTTGAATACTCTTCAACGCGGAGGTAATGCATTAGGGTGCTAATACCTTAAAAAGTCAATTAGAAATAACGATCATCATTAAAAGTAAATATCGTTATTAGCATATATAAGCATTATTTTAAAATGCATTCATCTATTACATCGAGCAGATTTACATTAAAGGAAATAGTTCGACTACTCGTAAGTGTATGTTAAAAATGGCAAACTGCTTCAAATAAATTAGATTGATCACTATTCTCTTATTGTGTTCTTAGTTTAAAAATCCATTTGAATCTACAATTCTGGTCTTTGTTTGATTAGATAGAAAAGGTGATATAACAGTACTCTCAAAAATGGATATGTTGCAGTATTGGAATAATTGAGACGGTTTAGAGGCGATTTCCGAAACTGCAGGGTACATGGACTATTCACGGTCCCTAGCATTGGCTTCAGCAGAATTTCACATTAAAACATGAAAAGGTAGGTTTTAAATAAACAAGAAATGTGTTTGAACGGCAGTGATCCTTAAATGTTTGTTTCAATAATAAGCCGCTCCTGGCCCCCAATTATAAGAATGCATTTAAAATCAATGAGAAAAAATGTGCAGAACAATATACCGGTAACATGAAGTTTTAAAACAGGATGAGAGGTTATACAAACAGCATATCACAGAAAACCTTCAAATTCAAAGAAACGAAAAACATACCTTGGATATAATTTAACGGTATTCAAGTTGGAGTTCTGAAAACCCCGCCCAAAATGTTGTATTGGTGGTTCAACACAAATTTGTGCTGAGACGATCCCAAAGGATATAAATGACATAACCTCTGAGTGAACGTGATAGGCAAATTTAACAGGAAATAAAATAAATCAAAATCTTGAAGAAAATAAAAACAATAATTGATAGTGCAAGCAATAAAGCAATCACATAAAATAAATAAAAAAAACTTAATCTACCTGATATATGATTCTCTGTGTTGAAACACCAAGCAGTAAAACATTAAATGTAAACAATAAACTTGGTGACATACCGTACATTTCGAGTACTCCTGAATAATAAAACGATTTTTCTTCTGTTTTAAACGGAAATTTATTTTACATTTTAACCGATGATAAAAACTAAATTGAGGTTAACGTAAGCCTTGTGCTTGCAAATATTTAATATGATACCATTGAATAAATTAGTTTTTCTTCCGTGTTACAGCTCATATACACACATGATTTTTTTAAATAATCACACAGTGGTCGACTCCATGAACAGGCTCAATCAAACCGAGCCTGCAACATTTTCAATTTTGCCGTGTTGGGCTTTCTTTAGGGATTCTTTATTTATCTATTTTGTAAACGCGTCGGACTTGTAGCCTTAGGATCGGTACCCGCATGACTTTAAACCATGCCACGTTTGGGGGGGGGGGGGTGAATGTTTTTTGTGTTGTTGTTGTTCTTGTTAATTTAATTTTTTCTTCTTTAGAAACGTATTCGGCAATCTAGGTTGTGCTATACGCTTATAACTTCCTACAAGATCGAACAAAAAGGTTACTTTATAACGAAACAATTAAAACTTGGTTGTTAAAAAGGTAATTATTACTAACACACCTTAATAAAATCACGTAATCCGGGAGAAGAATGCATAAAATTTATAGAGTTTTTTGGTTTTGTTTTATACAGTGTAGCAATTATTATCGGCATCATTTCCTAAACAAATATAGCTCGATTCGGAAAAGAAAAAGCCGTAATTTTTTTTCTGTACCAATTTCTTTTGGATATGCACCAGTCTTTGGGGAAAAAATAAGCTTTCCATAGAATATTGGTGCTCCGTCAGTATATGAGCCGTTTTATCAAACACTGTATCCCTTTGGAAGTTGTTTGTTTAGGAGCGAACTTCGGTTGCAAGCTATTTCGATTTCTTGCAATATCTGATCTACACCATGATAAAAGATTCAGGTTTACATCAACCGTGAGGACGGAAGACAAATCCTACCTAAATATGTTCATCTTTTAGTTATAATGGCGTAAATATATAAATGTAAAAAAACACTAGTCCAATTCCAACCAAACTTGGCAGGATTGATCCTTGGGTGAAGGGTGAACAACTGTTATTGTTGTTATTGTTGTTATTGGTTTATTTAGATTCTACTTATTATACTCTAGAAGATATATTGATAAATTTCTTGACTATAGGAACGCCTCCTTACTAGTGATTGGTTAATTGATTTCTGCGTTGATATTATCGATATACAATTCTCCTTTCGGGGAGAAGCGATAGAGAGATAGAATAGAGCAGATCATAAAAATAAATGACCTGGGTTGTTGTCGTAGTTATGGAAATAAACTTAGAAATGACTTTGTAGTTGTTGTTTAACTCCAATCCTGTTACACATGCAAAAATCTGGTTGCCATGTCAACCAAATAGAATTATAAGAAAAATCTTCTTGTAAAGACCCAAAAGGGCTAGAGCTTAGACATTTTGCATACGGCATTGTCTGGTAGACCTCTACCAAGATTGTTCAAATTAAAGCCCTGGAATCCAAATCGGCCCCGCCCCGAGGGTCATTGATTTTCACTATATGTACATATAGTAAAAACTTAAAATACCTTCTTGTCTGAAGGTACAAGGCTTAGAGCTTTAATATGTGTTACATGATATCATCTATAGGTAGTTTATCAATGTTGTTCAAATTTTGCCTCTAGTGTCATAACTAGTCCACCCCGGGGGTCTTAGGTTTTCCTTATATATATATTGTAAAAACTTCTTCTCTAGATTGACAAAGGCTAGAGTTAGATATTTTGCATGAAACGCTGTGTAGTGAACCTCTAGCAAGATTGTACAAATTAAAGCCCTGGGATCAAAATTAGCCCCACCCCCGGGGTCATTGATTTTCACTATGTACATATAGTAAAATCTTAAAAAATCTTCTTGTCTTAAGATACAAGGCTTAGAGCTTTGATATTTGGTATATGATATCATCTATAGGTATTCTACCAAAGTTGTCAAAACTAGCCCCGCACGGGGGTCATAGGTTATCCTGACATCTATATAGTAAAAGCTTTAAAAAATCATCTTCTCGAACTGACAAAGGCTAGAAATTAGACATTTTTGCAATAAACATTGTGTAGTGAACCTCTAGCTAGATTATTCAAATTAAATCCCTAGGGTCAAAATTGGCCCCGCCCCTTGGTATAATTGATTTTCAGTCACTATTTCAAAAAGTAAAAAATTAAAAATCTTGTTGTCTGAAGGTACTAATCCGATAATAACAGATAGGTAAGTGACATATGCATTATGGCAATCTGTATTGAAACAAAAAGATTGTGTTCCTACATTACTATTCAGTGTTGTATTTATGCGGTGGCATGGCATTTTTTACAAATGCAATCTTGTTTATTTTATTTTCTATACAATGTACATATTAATTCAAAAACACATGTACTAACGATTTTTATTCGCAGCGCCATCAGTGATTTTGAAAGCCGTAAAATTGCTGTATATATTTGTTACGTAATTTATTTGCTCTTTAATCATTGTTCTTTCACGGTAATGATTGTGATAAATTTATAAGTGTCATGAAGCAAAACTTATCGTGAACATCAATATATGTAGAAAAACGGAATCCCAAACGGCAAAACTAAAAATGATACATTCTCGGTTGGACTTAGCCAATAACCATATGTATAACCATATGTAATACTAACTATACATATACTAGGTAAAGAACCGGTAGCAATGTCTTAGTTTGATAGCATGCAAATTTATTTTTTACATCCTTTTTTATATCTAAAGTAACCGTTTTTGGTAATTTGGATAGAACTTCGTTCCGTTCAGAACACTTAACACTATTTATTTTATTATATCATGTCTTTCTGTTGAAAAAACTGTCTACTGACCAATTTAAATTTATCAGTCATGCTAAGGATGAAGCATTTGTAAGACATGGGAATTAAATAAATATTACCTCCTTCAAAAAGCGATCTTCCTTTATAGCTAAAGAACCTTCATATCTATTTCCAAAGTACCAAAATCTATTTATTATCTTGTAAGTAAAAATGCTACGACGGTAGGACGGAAAGACACCAGGGATATAACATAATATCAGCATATTGTCTAAGGCATATTATTAATGTACTTAATATACATGGTCATCCTATGAAGTTTGACAGTTGTATTACTGTTTAAATATTAAGGTAATTTGATATTGACCTCTGACCTTGTGACTTCCATATATATATATATGGATCTTTTTTATGCTCGGGGGAGCATATAGTCGTCGGGTTGTCCGTCCGTCCGTCCGTCAGTCCGTCGGTACGTACGTCCCGAATTTGTGTCCGGCCCATAACTTTGTTATTTGGAGTTAGATTTTAAAATTATTTCAAAGAAATAATGACCATATTGAGACGACGTGTCGCGCGCAACATTTGGATCGCTACTTTGAAGGTCATGGTCACAGCATGACCTTGCAGCAAAATCGTGTCCGGTCCATATCTTCAATATTTGAAGTCAGACTGTAAAACTATTTCACAGAAATGATCACCATATTGAGACGACGTGTCGCGCGCAACATTTGGGTCGCTACCTTAAAGGTCATGGTCACAGCATGACCTTGCAGTAAAATCGTGTCCGGTCCATAACTTTGTAATTTTTAAAGTTGGATTTTAAAATTATATCACAGAAATGATCACCATATTAAGACGACGTGTCGCGCACAATATTTAGGTCGCTACCTTGAAGGTCAAAGTCACAGCATGTCCTTGCAGCAAAATCGTTTCCTGTCCATAACTTCATTATTTGAAGTCGGATTTTAAAACTATTATACATAAATGATGACCATATTTAGACGACGTGTCATGCACAACATTTGGCTCGCTACTTTGAAGGTCAAGGTCACAGCATGACCTTGCAGCAAAATCGTGTCCGGTCCATAACTTCATTATTTGAAGTCGTTTTTTAAGCTATTTCACAGAAATGATCATTATATTGAGACGACGTGTCGCGTGAAATATTTGGGTGGCTACATTGAAGGTCAAGGTCACAGCATGACCTTGCAGCAAATCGTTTCCGGTCCATAACTTCATTATTTGAAGTCGGAGTGTACAACTATTTCACAGAAATGATCACCATTTTGAGACAATGCGTCGCGCGCAACATTTGGTTTGATTTTACACTTTGAACTTTGTCGGTGACATAGCTCTGACACTACAAGAGGTATACCTTCTTGTGTCCATAACCTATTCGGGGAGCATCACCCGGTTCAATCGGCTCTTGTTTTCAATATAGGCAATCATTCTATGAAATTTGAACACTGTAAGCCAAATGAAACTTATGTTATGATCCAGAAACCACAGATTTCAGTGTTTAGGATATTGCAACCCTGACTTTTGATCTTATGACACTAAAATCAATAGGGGATCTCGCATTGGACATGGCTGTTCATCCTCTAAAATTTTACAGCTGTAGGTTGACTAATACGTAAGTTATTGAGCGAAAACCGTTTCAGTTTTAAGGTATTAGTGACCTTGACCTTTGACCTTGTGACACTAAAATCGACAGCGGTTTTCTACCTAATATGGACAATTATACTATGTTGTTTGAATACTGTGGGCCAAATGAAACTTAAGATATGCTCGCTTACGGACAAACTCACAGACGACGGGCGCCAGGGGTATAACATAATATGCCCGAAATCCCGAAATTCTTTCGGGCATATAAAAAGTCAAGTATTTGACACTTAAGTAAGAACACAGCTCGGGAGACAAACATTTGACAGTTGTATGATAGAAATTGATTATAATCTTCCAATGAAACCGCAATTTTACATATGATATGTTTGCTTGTTTTATTCAATGGGCAAATTGATCAGTTCCACATGGATCACAATCCTAGTTCTTGTCGGTGTGACTGTTTCCAATGTCAATCATTTTTAATAATTATCGATAACCAATTTTATTTCCGCCTTTTTTAATGTTTTATTTCAAGAACTTTGACTGTGATTGATGGCTATTGTTTTGTAAAATCATGAATCTGTTTACTTTATTCTACTTTGTTGACTCCATATGGCGTCCATTTTCGTTCCTTATATGCAACTCGTGGCTAATTTTGGGTCTTTAATAAACAGAGTCATAAGTAATGCAACTAAGTGACAGTACTATGAGGTTAACGTGACAAAAGTTCCAGGTCATATGAAATGATATCAAAATTACTCTACACAAAAATAACAAAATCTGACTGATGATGAAAATGCCTATAGTATGATAATAAGAATAAAATGTTAACGTTACGTTATGCGCGTAACAATAAGCTTCATTATTTTACCGATACATGTACATAGTGCTTCAAATTGTGATTTGTTTATCAAAACATATGACAAGTTCAGAAAAAGATGTATACATGTATCTTTTAATATTCTCTCTTCTGAGCACAAAGGAACATCTTCGTCACTTGGATTTGCAAGGAAAATCATAAAAATAATTAATTTTTGTACAAGACTAAATCAGCGTGATTTCAAATTCAATTTATTTATTCACTCAGATCATGCAAACATGACAACATAAGTTAATATTGCAATTACATGTACAAAACTAATGAGGCTTCATAATCAGACAGTATCAAACTAACATGATATATAAATTGTTAACATAAACAATATCGCGGGAGAGTCAGTATTACAAGAAATATTTCGACATTGACTTGACGTGTACTATTGCGGTACAGGTAAAGGTTTCACTATCTGTATGTATTTCTAATAATTATATTTTAGAGATTTATCACGGATTTGATTTATATAGTCAAAATATTTCCTGCAATGTTTTATGTTGCTAATAAGACCATTGTTACAGTTATTTTGGAACACCTGCCGTTAACTAGATTCACCAAGGTTGGATTATTTTTTACATTTTTTCCTTTGTTGATATTTTGAATGTTTTACCGAATGTCACATGACATATTTGAGCATCCTATCTAAAATCTCCTTTAAACTGTTGTCCATTCTTTTCGATTTGGAGCTGGTGCCCGAATTTGTTTTGTAATTAACATTTTATATCATATATTGTACAAACATGTAACAAAAATATTTTTATGTTAAAAAGTCAAAACCGTACTAAAAACAACCGAACAAAAGCCACCCTTTAACAACACATCAGTTCTTAACAAAATAGAGGATCCTCTTGATAAGCTACTCTTGTCTATAAAGGAAACATTATATTTCTCCTCTGTGCGGCCCTGGTCACAGGTGTGACTGTTATTATGCATTTAAGTATATAGTCAGTACAAATACAATAGTTTCAAATAAAGCTATATTAATCAGTACAAATACAATAGTTTCAAATGAAGCTATATTAATCAGTTCAAATACAAGAGTTTCAACTGAACATGTATTAATTATGTCAATTGTACATTATTAAAACCAATGTAGCCTTTATCAGATGCGATGGAGAAACTCTTAATCAATTCAGTTGTTCATATAGCACAGTTATTTTGGGAAAAGGTGGAAAGAAAAAAAAGAAATTGGCAATTTACTTATCAACCAACTTTTCTCTCACTCAGTAAGTTGTTGAATCTGATAATTTTGTTCTTCTCTTCGATTAATATTTATTCATGCATTCATTATTAAGCTTGTAAATTAATGACAAAATACATCCATAACAATTGTAAAATGATAATAGAAAGGATTTTGTTATTAACTGGATAACATAGACTATTTCTAACCTTTTGGGTCAAGCTTGTTCAATTTTGCTTGATGCGTATCAGTGATACTAGGTAAACAAATGGCCATGCATTTGGTACAACGTGAGATAAAGTCACTTGAAAAACGTCAGTCATCAAGTCGTTAATTACTATTTACATATGCTATTTGTAAACACGCATGTCCATGTAACATACATATTATGAGAGTTTTCACTTTTATTCGTAGACATAATTGCAGATATTTTAGTCAGGTACAAACTATCAACATGTTTGGAGAAATGTCTTATAACAATAATAAGACGAAGTTAATATGGTATATTTCCGAAGTTTAATTTTAATTGTTCATCGCTTTTCAATTCATTAACTATATTTTTGATACAAAATTCAGGCAGGTTGTTTTATCAGCAACATGCAAGCAAACATTCATATAGTTCTGTATTGTATGTTATGTGAAACATGATAAAATTCGAAAAACAAAAAAAAACCTTCAAAACACACGTTTTTTGCCGACACTATAGATATATAAAAAATTAACGCAAGTCTCAATGCCAATAAACCTAAGTAATCTACGTAAACTGATATGATTACATTTTGTCATATTATCTGTATCCCAAGGGGTTGCAGTCGCTGAAAAGATTAAACGGAACATTGAAGGAATTGATAGATTAGAAAATAACAAATCTCAACTAAGGCAAGTTGTCAAAGAATTTCTATCCATCGTGTTCTTAACAATATTATATATTCTATTTTATTCCTTATAGAATAAACTGTAAAAAGATAAGCATGAAATTGAAGGTAATATAAACTAGATGTACTCGTATACGATTGAGTATAATCTTACTTACATTAAAACATTAAAAGGTTTTGCATTTGACCCTAAAACGAGCATAGTTAAAAATACATTTCGAAGACCTTGTATACATTACATCTACGTAATTTCAAAATTGTATGCGCGCAAATAATGCAGTTACGCCTATCTTGTACATGCTGTACTGATACATTATGAACTTGAATTGTCTATTGCTGAATGCCAAACATGTAGAACATTGTAATTATATACAAAATATGAATAAATCATGTTATTACGTATTATCATTCTGTGTATCATTAGGGGTACTATTCAAGACGATTGAATGACCAAAACTAAAAATATGAATTAGCAAACACATTGCGAAATATATTACGTTATGCAGAACTGGATTTCCACACATCCCAATATCTTTCCTTCCTCATGTAGGTTAATGGTCAGGACAAACTTTCCTCTTACCTTATATGATAGCTGTGGTAAGACAATTTGAATAGGTGGCAAGTCATACGACCTCTGTAAAGATAAAACTAAACTTACTGCTAAAGTTCATTTAAAAAATAAGCGAGTTCATTTCTTTAAAATTCATCGTCTTATTAACATAATTATTTAAAATTATCAAAATCATAGAATAATAGTGTTATGAAAAGATTAAGTGTACTTTTTACATATCTTTGAAATTGTTAAGGAAGATATTATTACCACCTACCTTAATGAATGGGCAACCACAATTATTGTCATACTTTTTTTGTATGTACTCTGGACATTTTTTGTCCTTCATAAAATCTTTCAGAATGGAACACAAATCGTTATAATGACAGTATGATTCCCCTACGATCTGGCATAGTTCTATGTAACCGGTCTTTGTCTTCATACGCAAACTTAAATCAACCTGTAAAAAAATTTCAACCTTTATAACAAACTTTTAAAAAACCCATTAAATTCAGCTTTTCTCATAGTTCTACCAACCAGTACTGAATGACAAGTTGTAAAAGTCCTTTATATGTTGCAATATTACTGAAAGGAATCCTAATAACGAATTTAAACTTTAACAAAATTCCGTTTTTTTTTTCTTTAAATGACAATAACTACATAAATTACATTGCATACAAATACGTTACGATTACAGACGTTACAAACGTTCAATATATAATTATAATTATAGTTACTATACGTGCTAAACGTCGGTCATTCGAGCAATCAGTCGGTCATTCGTCCTTCCGTCGGTCTATATATACAAATCCTATATATCTTGCAAGATCGTATTAAAACATGGCTCAAATGTCAACAAAGTAATGTTTAAATCTATGCCACTTCTGTGCCAGCTCATGATTACCCTTAGAAGATCAAAATACCAAATATCATCACAAGTTTGTGTCCGGTCTATACATACTGCATGCCTTGAATGATTTTCTTGAAACTTGGCTGAAATTTTCAACTAAGAAAAGGCAAGGAAGGTTGAAATCAAAAGTTAATCATTAGGTAATTTTGTGTCTACTCAATAAATCCTATTCCTTAAAGAATTTTCTTAAACTTGGCTCAATTATTCACCTCAACGAGGCTGTGTACAAATCCCGTGCCGCCTTGAAGATCGAATGTCAGCCTATTTAGGGTCTGGTCAAAAAATCATATACCAGTTGAGTGGTTTTCTTTGAACTTAGCTCAAATATGCACCTTCACAAAACAATGTAAAGAACCCATGTCATTTTTGTGTAGGCTTAAGATCGTTCAGCACGACAATATTGTTGTGTATACATTTCACATGGTATTTTTGGTTTTGGCCTTTATCAACTTGGGTGGTCCCAGTATTCCTACTTGAATAATACTGTATAATCACCCTTAAGATATGTTGCCTGCTTTTTAAATTTGTTTTTTGACGTTTTGTCTGTGATACGAAGGTTTCATAATCACAAATCCCCTTTAAAAATGCCATATGATTAAGTTCCGCCCATTGTTTTCTCGTTGGCAGATGCATTCTTTTACTTGGGACCATACGCCGATTGTTATTAAATTACACTACTCTGTCACATTTCAGGTGACATGATAACCGCCGTATGAACACATCTGCAAATGTTTCTAAATTAAAAAATTCACCATTTTTGTGTAAAAATGTTGAATTTTGCTTAAGCCGTTGCTAGGGGGCGTGTTCGGTATTTGCACTTTCCAATACCTTCCATGAACAGACTCAATCAAACAGAGCCTGCAACATTTTACAATTTTGCCGTGTTGGGCTTTCTTTGAATATTATGATTTTCTCTATTTTAAAGTCAAGGTCACCCTTTAAGGTCAAATATCAGACAACTTAATACGTATTTTTAAAATTCAAATTCAGTTTAGGATTTTCTTTAAACTTGGCTGAATTGTTATTCTCATCAAGATAATCTGCAGAATCCTGCATGCTTAAAAGCACCAATGGCGGTCAAATATCTACCAGTTATGTGTCCGCTCTTTAAATAATAACCCTTTAGATGCAAAATCCTTGCTGTCATTTTGCAGGCTCAAGTCAACATTATGTGTCTGCACGCAACAAAAAATAATGGTAAATTACACTAAATAGCATTATGTGTCAAAGAGATCAGATCAGGTAGGACTACTATTTTCATATATCCTGTGGCAGCTCAAAGTATTGTATGTATTCTGCTTATTTCTACTAATTGCATAGAGTAACAAGCGTTTCATAAATTCCAAATATTCGCTATATTGCTAAAGTTACCTTTATGGTATTGTTATGGCTTCCAGCATCTTCATCAAGTGTCATTCTTAAACGGATCTTTATGGAATTCCCAATAATAATTGGGTCTGGAGATATATCGAGAAAATTAACATAGAGTGGGACAACTGAGCTATTGCAGTTCGAGTAACTGAAATTTCTCGAACTCACCGACTCCTGAAAAAATATAGTTTCAGAAGATTTTTATATTTTCGTTATACAGTGTAAACACTGTTGTGCAATAACGATATTAAAAATAAATTCATCAAATATATCTAAAGTTTTCCTTTTGCAAACATATATGAAATATCACCAACCAAGTTTAAAAATGATTAACGATATTCTCCATAAACATGTTTTATTTAAATTGATTATTACTGTTTTAATGCTTTGAAAACACATTCCATACAATTATCACATCTTATGGAAACAATGAAGAAAAGATACCTTACCTTGAATATATGCCTTTGTGATGATACAAAATCAACTGCAAAAATGCATAAAATGCATACTGTAAGCGACTCGAAATAAGCCATGACACCCACACTACGAGATTAATAATCAAAACTAAACAACTGGAAACGAACATGAAACCGGACGAAAATGACAAATGGTTGATTTCTATTGAAATTTATTGCATACGGAAGTAAATATGCGATTCGGCAAGACGGTTTCAAGTTAAGATCGGCGTTATTTGTTTATTACAACTTGGAATGTATTCGATCAATTGTTTGTTATCTTTGGGTTCCTTGTCAGTTACAAATTAATTTATCATTTTAGTGATTAGCCTGTCCGAGCTCTGCCTTGTGTCTTGTCTTGTGTTTGTTTGGGGTCCGTCTGGGCTCCTTGCCATTGGTTCTTGTTGCTGTGTTATGTTGGGGTTGCGTTCATTGAACACCGCCTTTCCTTGTTGATCTTTTTTGTCATATCATATTTTATTGTTATGATACTCACGTGCCTTGTTCTTAAAAAAATTGTTAGTTCGGTTTGAATGCACATTTTAGTACAATGGGAAATTTTGAAACAAATATTGCTATTCTATATTTGTAGCCGTTAACATACCCGGTACATTGTAATTAAATAGCACAGCATATGATAAGAGAATGCGATATGCAATATAAAATGTCATTAATTTTATAAATTCATATGAAAATTACTTTAAATCAAATTTATGATATTTACAGATAAGGTTAGGACGATTTATAAATTATTTTACGCTTTAATGCATAGCCAATATAACGAAATGTTCTAATAGCTGGCAAATCTAGGACTTTTTATATAAATATCTGAATCTCATTCTAGACTTAATCTTGATTTAAATGATAAAACGTTTTAACAACTCGTCCAATTTTGAAATTTTTGTATGTTTTTGTATGTTGTTACATTCATTTTAAATTCAGATTGCTCTTTGTATACTTATGGTAATTTTAACATTTAGCAACAATTGAAACAAAATGCATTTTGGTTAAATAGTAAGTTTCTATAATATTATCAACTGTTCTTCTCTTAAGCAGTTTGTATATTATATTTGTTTTTAGATCGACCACAGTAAGTCATTACAAAAATCTGGAAACAAAGTGATATCTCAGAAGCATTAATCACAACAAAAATACATAAGAGTTGCACACTCGGTTTGATTGAGTCTGTACATGAGAGATAATGAATAAGTGCAACATCCCTCATGCCCCCAGCGCCGGCTTGAGTGGTACTTAAGAGCAGTACTCAATTCTCAACACTCAATAGCCGAAGGACTAGAAAAATATAACAACACTGAAGTGAAGTTCGGACCCTTTAAACGTTTACCATGTTTGCCATTTCTTCCATATTTACGTGTTAGATTATACTACCAAACATGATAACCTATGTCATATTTAGTAGTATTACTATTTAAGTCATAGTGCTTTTCATGGTATTATTCGAAAGTGAAAACATTTTCCTTGCAAATACATTTACTTCCTTTACTAAATCTAATTTCTAAAGCTTCAACAGAATCAGTGTCACATTTCTTTGCAGGATTGTTTATTTCAGGTTAATCAAGAACCATATCAATTGGAGGTCTACTTTCTGTTCCAAACATCATGGTTGCGGGTGTGACTAAAATAGATTCCTGAACTGAAGAGAAAAGGGCCATTTAGCATAAACTTTTTTTAAGTTTCATATTTATCCAGTCATTTCTATGTTCAGATACAAAGACCATATGTATATTAAATTTCTTCTTTTTGCGCGTTCAATGAAACCTCCACCTTGTTCGCTTGTTTTTTAATACCTAGAAGAATAATCCTTTGTATCATTTGGATACTGTTACATCCAAGAACTCTTTAGAATAAATTCCCACAATAAAATCAACAAGAATAATTTAATCTATTTTAAATACAAGCTCCAATAAATCACTTAATATCCAAGTTGAATTATACTCCAAATACATTGATGACTCAAAAGGTAACTGGTGACTTATAAGATGACTTAAAAGGTAAAGGTAATGAAAAATGTACCCTTATATAAATGTAAGCTAAGAATATTCCAGATCAGTCTCTTATATTCTACAGTATTCACAATCTAGCACCTTCAATAATTAAGAATAATCTTGAAAATTCTATCTAAATATATAATAATGCATGAATCATAATCTAGAATTTTTCTACAGTTAAGGAACTTCTTGTACATACATGTAGTTTATGTTCTAAAAAAAAGAACAATGATAATATTAGAAATACCAAATTGTCAGGGATAAACAATATACATGTAATATTATGCATACATAACAATACAAATAAAGAACCTTGGTCTGAATGAATAGTCAGTGTAACTTTAAGGGTAGAACAAATTGCAAAAGTTCTTAAAACTATACTATACTAAACAATATACTATACTACACTATACTTTACTATATTATCTTATCCTATCCTATCCTATCCTATCCTATACTATACTATACTATACTATACTTTGCTGTGCTGTGCTGTGCTGTGCTATGCTATGCTATGCTATGCTATACTATACAATACAATACTATACAATGCTGTGCTGTGCTGTGCTTTGCTGTGCTTTGCTATGCTATGCTATGCTATACTATACAATACTATACTATACTATACTATACTATACTATACTAGACTAGACTAGACTAGACTAGACTAGACTAGACTAGACTAGACTAGACTATGCTATGCTATGCTATTCTATACTATACTATACTAGATAATACTATGCTATGCTATACTATACTATACTATACTATACAATACTATACTAATCTATACTATACTATTTTACACTATACTATACTATACTTAACTGTAAACTATACTATACTATGCTATACTATACTATACTATACTATACTATACTATATACTATACTATACTATACTATACTATACTATACTATACTATACTATACTATACTATACTATACTATACTATACTATATACTATATACTATACTATACTATACTATACTATACTATACTATACTATACTATGCTATACTATACTATATACTATACTATACTATACCTATATACTATATTATACTATACTATACTATACTGTACTATACTATACTATACTATACTACACTACACTATGCTATACTATACTATACTATACTATACTATATACTATACTGACTATACTATACTATACTATACTATACTATACTGTACTGTACTATACTATACTTTACTACACTACACTACACTATATACTATACTATACTATACTGTACTGTACTATACTATACTGTACTGTACTATACTATACTACACTACACTACACTACACTACACTACACTACACTATATACTATACTGTACTTTACTATACTATTATACAAATCTATACAATACTATACTATATACTATACTATACTATACTATACTATACTATACTATACTATACTATACTATACTCTACTATACTATACTATACTATACTATACTATACTATACTATACTATATTATACTATGATATGCTATACTATATACTATACTATACTATACTATACTGTACTGTACTGTACTGTACTGTACTGTACTGTACTGTACTGTACTGTACCTGTACTGTACTACATGCTGTGCTATGCTATGCTATGCTATGCTATGCTATGCTATGCTATGCTATACTATGCTATGCTATTACTATACTATACTATACTATACTATACTATACTATACTATACTATACTATACTATATACTATACTATACTATACTATACTATACTATACTATACTATACTATACTACACTACACTACACTACACTATACTATATACTTTACTATACTATACTATACTGTACTGTACTATACTATACTAATCTATACTATACTAATCTATACTATACTATACTATACTATACTATACTATACTATACTATACTATACTATACTATACTATACTATACTATACTATACTATACTATACTATACTATACTATACTATACTATACTATACTATACTATACTATACTACACTACACTACACTACACTACACTACACTACACTTCACTACACTACACTACACTATACTATACTATACTACACTATACTAAACTTAATACTGCACTGCACTCCACTCCACTTAACTCCACTCAACCCCAATCCATTCTACTCTACACTCTACTCTACTGTACTCTCTTCACTTCACTACACACAAGCCGCATAATTTTGCATCAGGCATTTTTACACAATTTTGGTTTAAAATTTGTTAAGTTAGCAATAAATTGTATAGCCCGTTCAGGCCACCATACACCAAAATAATCTGGATGACGTCATATTAAAGTGCACGTGCTGGTGAAATTTATAATTTCCAGTCAAATTTTATTTTGAAGTTTTCGTCAACAAAATCCGATATATAATTCAAAGTGATGAACTTTCGACGTAACAAATGAATAAGTAAGTCAATATTTATATATTTATTATCTATGAAGGTCTGGCGGTACTGACAATCTTTAAATATTAAATTTTTTCACATCGTTTTCTTTGAGTATCACCGTTCTATTTGTCCAATGCCATTGTAACCTGCTTGTTGATTTATTCCTAAAAAATTCGTGTCATATTCAATGATAAAGTACTACAAAATTCTTTACTGTACAGTAATGATTAAAGCTAAGACAGTGTGTTTTTAAATTTCAAGGTCAACTAAAAAATATAAAACTACGGAAGCGTGTTCGGGACATTGTAAGCATTTTATATCTTTAAAAACAAATAATTTTTAAGGCATATACAGTGTAATTCTTGAACGTTTTAACGTATTTTATAAAGAGTATGGTGTAATTACTTAATTTGCGTCATTGAAATTGATTTAATCAATACTTGCATGAGAATATGGACAGTTTCTCAAAATTTCTGCAATAGTGATTAGCTTTGAATGGAGGTTTGACGGAAATTATCAATTATCGTGGTAATCTTTGAATAACAGTTTACTAATTGACGTTGTTGTTGATAATAATAATAATAATAATAATAATAATAATAATAATAATAATAATAATAATAATAATAATAATTATTATTATTATTATTATTATTATTATTATATTTGTAAAATAATTAAAATTATTTTTTATTGAAAATGCTAGTTTTTATAAATCTTCTAAAAGACGTTTTT